GCTGTTCACGGATTTCGGCTCCCGTGACCGGCCGGTCGCGTTCATGTGACCGGTGCCGGTCACGTTCATGGTGCCGGGACTGGTTCTGGGAATCGTGCCGCACCTTCGTATCCCAGGACTAATCTCCGCCAGGAACACGAATCTCCCTGGTGACACCAGCGGCAGTTAAACTGAGGCCGTCACGTGGCGTGAGCCGCAGACCAGGGTTACCCTGTCAGGTCAGTGTAGGGCAGGATTAGGGAAGGGGACGAGAACCCGTCAATCAACACGAACCTACTCCCTCCTATGCGGCACGCCCTAGCGGGRTTATAGAGGTGAATCTGTTAAGTTTGTATCAGTACACGCTATCGTTGTTTGCGATTGGGAAGGATGGTGGCGCGCTGCAAGGAACCGATGTAAAGGTTGAGCACAGGCAATGGCCCACGCRCACTTTTGCCGAGATGAACGTTGACTCCATATGCAGATCAATGGAACCCGCCTTACCCTTATCTCTCTCTCTCTAGGAGTTAGTCCAGATGTGGGTAGCGGGGCACAGAGATCCATCATAGTGGTCGCCATTTAGTAATTAGGAACAAGTGGGACCACAATCGGGTCACGGAGATATCAGCCGTGTCACGAAAACGCGGGCGGCTGACATCCCCGGTGGTCGAGGTGAGCCGTGGGGCAACACCCGCCCAACTGATCCGGATCCTCTGTGCGCACATAGGAGCGGAAGGAAAGATTTAGAGGCGATCCCCTCGCCTACACGCAGCGCATGGATCAGTAAGGGGTCAGGCAAGGGAGGGAAATCCAACACACTCATGCAATCATGCAGACAGTCGAAGCCTCGCGATCCCCAGAATTGCGCCACACAGCTACTCATTCATTTATCTTGGACAGTAAGACATTCAGCACCCATAGACCCTTGCACCACAACATGCATACAACAGAATACCCGTACTTTGGTACTTTGCACACATCACACTTGGACAAAGCAGTAATGGAGATAAAAGTGAGTCCCTCACTATTCAAAATTTCACAATCGGCTGGCCTCCCTCAGGCACAACCCCCAACCAATCTGAACTTTCACCAACCATAGCCAAAAGGCCCTGCCGCTGACAGCGTTCGATCTCCACCACCGCTCCGTCACTTTCGACTGTCTTACACCATGTCTATCTCTAAGCCTTAGAAACACCGCGGCCTCGGCCGTGAGGCAGCGATCATGACCGTGGTGACCACGGTTTGCCTCAACCTGCAGCTGTCGAGGGGAAAGGGGGTTGGGGATCGGGGTTGTGGATTGGGGTTCCGGAACCCTGCCCCTACCCCCTTGAACAAAAAAAACTTAAAAAAAATAAATTTATGGGGGGTCGTTTTTGGTGTGTGAAAAAAAAAGAAGAAAAGAAATAGAAAATAAATAGAAAATAAATAGAAAATAAATAGAAAATAAATAGAAAATAAATAGAAAATAAATATTGATTGCTTGATTGTTTTTTGATTGATTGATTGATTGATTGATTGATTGATTGATTGATTGGTTGATTGATTGATTGATTGATTGATTGATTGGTTGATTGATTGATTGATTG